TGCCAGCTCCCAGATCAGCTTCTCTCATTGGTTGATGCGGCGCGTCCAGCAGATAAAGTTACATGTTTCCAACTTCAGCAGCGCATGAGGCGCTGCTCCTGCTGCAAGATTTTCCTGGATCTTCTTGCTCTCCAGAGCTAGTAGATTGGTAACCCCGCCTCCTGCTCTCCTCTATCTTGTTTGCTGTCATGATTCATGAGACATTCATCATTCCTTTAGAGACAGCATGAAAAGTCAGCTGAGTAAAAAACATAGAGAGGAAAACAAGAAGAGAGGGACACAACCTAGAGCAGATAATGGATGTCTATTCTATAAACAGTTCTCTATCTGTAGAATGGGTCTGTTTTATGTGTTGTCCATTCAGAGGGGCCCCTGCCTGTCTTTGCCTGGGGCCCCTGCATGATCGATTTATTATGTTCTGCAGCATTTAAAGCCTGTAAGGTTGAATATTTTCCTGTTTTAATTGTTGAACATCTTTGATACTGACAGAAGGTCAGAGACCTTCCTAAGATGGCCGCCTGTGGTCTCTGTGTTCTTAATGTCTGCTGGTCCCAGAGGAGCGATAAAACACCAGAGGATCATCTGCAGGAGAATACTTTATTAAGCCTTTATGGGACCTGATAGAGGTGATTACATAACAATAACTTTCTATACATGTTTCACACGCAGGTTGGAATAAAGTGACAGCAGAGTTCAGCTCAGGCGCGTTCATCTTCATCCCAGGAGAACATCAGGGGGTCTCAGACAGAACCCTGGTCCTGATGCTGCTAGAACCTCTGGGTTCTTCTTAATGGATACGTCACGACAGGGAACCAGAAGCATGCAACGCAAACACGACATCAACAGGAGGACATTCCTCCTCATGCAGCTGGATGGGTCCAGAACCTCCGCATCCTGCAGAGGGAGCGATGGAACACCCCCCACCGGTCCGTCTGCAGACTCTGGCCGCCCAGATGTGGCAGAACCTTCCAGCTGTTGGTCGGATGACAGAACCAGGCGGAAGGAACCGACCAAACTGGACTGGTGAAGAAATGTTGGTTCTGCTGCGGTTCTGATTGGACCGGGCCTCACAGCACCATGGTGGGGATGTGATGGACCAGGGAGGCGGGGTGAGGCACGGCAGCGAGCTGGGGGACGTGGGACGGAGGCGGGGAGGGGACGCCGCCCCCCACCACCACCGGGGGGCCGGCCTCCCCGCTGGGCCGGTGCCGCGCGCTCTTCTGGTGCGCGCGCAGGCCGGCCAGCTGGGAGTACGCGGACTGGCACACGTGGCACTTGTAGGGCCGCTCCCCGGTGTGCAGCCGCACGTGGTTCCTCAGCGTGGACGACTGGCTGAAGCGGCGGTTACAGAAGCGGCAGACGAACGGCTTGTCCAGGGTGTGGATGCGCATGTGGGAGCGCAGGTTGCTGCGGGAGTTAAAGCCGCGGTGGCAGATGACGCAGCGCATGCGGCCCAGGCTGGAGGAAGAGCAGGAGGAAGAGGAGGAGGAGGAGGAAGAGGAGGAGGAGGAGGAGGAACCTTCACAGGTGTGGAAGTCATCTGAAAGCAGGACAGGAGAAGACATGGTGATGATGAGTCCAGAGCCTTCCTCAGCATCAAACGGATCATTTCATATTTTTCTAAATTATCTCATTACCAGCTTTGCTCTTCTTCCCCTGCTCCTCATCCGCTCCTGGAATTCCAGGAATTCCCAGGAAGGTGTTGTGGGAGTTTCCATACCAGACCAGCAGCTCCTGGTCTGGAGGGATGGTCTATGAACAGAAACAACAAGGAGATTCATTCAGACATTTAACAACTTTATTTTATTTCATGGAGCTGAATCATTAATTTATTTTATAATTCTTTTTTATGTTTTTATTGCAGCTGCTCTGAAAACTATCATTTATAAAAATGAATTAAAAAATGATTTTATGGGGATTCGGTTTATTTCCCTGTTACTGCCAGCAGAGGGCGCCATGCACCAGGAGATCCAGAGATTTGGCTCCAAATGACAGACGGAGCGGCCCTCCTCCTGCACCTCCTCCTCCTCCGCTCCACGCGGGATGATTCTCCTCATCTTCAAAACCCACATCTGATTTTTAAAAACTGATCTTTATTATTTTTTTCTATTTTTTGGGAGATTCGGTCTCTGAGTGCTGGCCTTATAGGGAGGCTTTACTTTGAGGCCCCTGTGGGGCCCTCTGTGGGGCCCTCTGAGAGGCCTCAGCCTCGCGGTTGAAGTCGTCGGGTCAAACCGGTTATCAGGTTATGTAATCATAAGCGCGATTTCTTATTATTAATTATTAAATTCGATAAGTTTGAACTTTTTCTGTAAAAATACTCCGAAATAAACTTTTTCAACAAACTGTTTCATTTGTTAATAATTCATTATTATTATTATTATTATTATTATTATTATTATTATTATTATTATTATTATTATTATTATTATTATTATTATTTCTCTGTTATTTTCTCCATTTCTTCTCCATGAAATTTTTATTTTGCACATCGATTAAAAAAATAAATTTTATTTCCATGGAGTTCACAATTAAAGGAACAATTAAGACAAATTTGTTTAACTGATATTCTTTTATATTTGTGACGTTTTTCTGCTTTAACACAACAAACACATTTAAACGTTTTGAGCAATAATAGAATATCTTTATTTAAAATAATTTTAGATGAATTATTAACATTAATGTTTGAATCTTTGTTTTAACTTAAGTTGTTTTATAGAGATTATATTTTTAAGGTGAAATTAATGTTCTTTTAAATAAATTAATCAGAACAATTAATAAGCTTCAAAAGTCATTTAGACTAAATTTGTTTAATTTAGAAACATTTTATAATAAGAAATCTAAATTAAATGTATTTATAGAAATTTAGAACAAAGTTTCTAAGCTTATTTTTCAAACATTAAAAGATTTTATTTTTATTGAGATCAAAGGAGCCGAATAGATCTGGAAGCAAAATAAAATGAAGTTTTATTTAAAAAGATAAAAATCCGAAACATGCAAAAATAATCTGAATTGATTTTATAAATAAAATCCCGTAAAGCGAAACATTTATTTAGAAACCTTTCATCTCTGTTTTAATCTGACTTTGATTTTTTTGTTTTTTTCATAAAAACAAATTTAAAAAATGACTAAAATAATTCAGATCTTTTTTTTTTTTTTTTTTTTTTTTAGATGAAATGAAATGTTTGTATTCTTTATTCCTCCTGCAGGTTCAGGTTCTGGTTCAGGTTCTGGTTGTGGTTCTGGTTCTGGTTGTGGTTCGGAACTGACCTCCACCGCCTTGTAGAAGATGCTGCTGCCCATCTGGACCACCTCCAGGTTCTGCTCCTGCTCGTTCCGCGCGCACTTGATGTAGGTCATCCAGCTCCTCTGGTCCTCCTGACTCGCATCGATGAAGAACCGAACCGAACCGTCCTCATTGAACACCTGAGAGGGAGAGGAAGGTTCTGGTTCCGATGAGCTGATCGGGTCGGCGGCCTGACTAAAATGTTTTCACTGAGGTTCCGGTTCGGTTCGGGCGGATCGGTCCGAATTATTTATCTTCCGAAATGAACCGGACCGGTTCGGAAAAAAAAACATTTTTTATGTTTTTCCTCCATTAATAAAAATCTATAATCAGATTAAAAAATATATTCATTATAAAATGATTTTATGTTTTAATTTTTATTATTTTATTTTAATTCCTTTTTCTAAAATTTATGTTTTGTTTATTTTAAACTTTCCGGTTTCAGTTCGGCTCTTTGATCCTGAAACCGAAACGAATCTTTTGTTCTAAACTTTGATCTGGTTCCGTTAAAAATTGGGGAAAAGTTCCGGACGGACCCGGTCGGTCTGGGCCGAACCGAACCGAACCGGGCCTCACCTCCCACATGAGGCTGTTGTTCTTGTAGAGGTCCACATGTTCCGGTGACACCAGGCGGCCGGTAAATGGACCCATCTCGGTTCCTGCCTTGATCCAGGTTTTAGAGAAAATCCCCAGACCTTCTCCTGCGGAACACAGAGGTCCAGTTAGAGGTTCTTCCATCCACCAGAACCGGAACCAGAACCGGTTCATCTACAGAGTGAAATATTCCTACCTGGTACCGAACTCTGAGCGATGATGACCTCACTGGGCAGAACCAGGCTGGACAGTTTCTGGACCTCTGAATAAAAACAGAACATCCATCATTAGGTCGGAACCGGCTTTGGGTCAGCGGTCCAAACGTGTTCAGAACCTCCTCCTGGCCACCGAACCCGGACCCACTTCGCGCGCGGGGAAAATGTTCATTCTGGGTGGAGAACGTCCAAAAGTTCGGCCTCAGGCGGGTTTAACGGTTCCGACTGGACCGCAAACCCCAGAGAGGCCGAACCGGCAGCAGAAATGATTCTGACCCAAAGACCAGAAACGACCAGAACAGAAAATCCAAACAGCTTCTATGAAAATATTTCGAACTAAATTCTTCAGAACCGAAAACGAACAAATAAAACCAGAAGAATCAGCAGGAGGTCCAACTGATCAGAACCGCTAAAGAACATCTAAAAATAAAATTACTTTTTCTCACAACATTTTATAAACTTCTTTTTTATTTTTATTTGATTTTTATTTATTTTTTAAAATCCAGATTAACCCGAATTAACCTGAAGGATCCATTTAATCCCAATCAGGTAGAAAATCCAAACTTCTCTGATGTTTCTGGATCGGATCCTTTTTATTTCTAATTAGAGTCACTTTGAACCCGAACTGACTGGAATTCCGGTTCGGTTCTACAGCAGGATCAGTCAATCGGACCGGAACCGGCCACTCACCTCCGGAGAAGGACTGCGCCAGAACCTCGGCCGTGAAGGCGGTCTTGGGGCTCGCGCTCGGCCCGCTCCGCTCCTCGTGCTGCAGCTGATGCTGCTGCTCGCCCAGCACGTGCCTCCAGCGGCCGTACAGGAAGCTGTGCAGGATGTCCGAGGTGATGATGTCCGCGAGGGAGAAGGCCGGCTTCAGGGCCAGGGAGGGGCCGGCGGGCAGCACCGAGCCCATGGTACCGAGCCGAACCAGCGGGAGGGAGGGGGGGTCCACAGAGCAGCAGGTAAAAATAACAGAGGAGCCTCTGGTTCTGGTTCTGGTTCTGGTTCTGGATCTGGTTCTGGTTCTGGTTCCCTGCAGACACTGACTGATGAGGAAGAGGAGCAGAAAGAGACCTGCTCAGAAGTTCAGAGGAGCTGCAGTGAAACCGAACCCAGCAGAGGGGGGGTCTTTATACCAGAACTCAGCAGCATCTCTGAGGTAGAGGAGGAGGAGGAAGAGGAGGAGGAGGAAGAGGAGGAGGAGGAGAGAGGAGAGGAGGAGGAAGGAGAGGAGGAGGAGGAAGGAGAGGAGAGGAGGAGAGGAGGTCTGCTATCGGCTTCACTTCTGTTTCTCACATTAAGGACCAGCAGATTCAGCAAGAAGGTCTGATCCCAGATCAGCCGCTAGGAAGGCTCCAACCACCGCAACACAGGGGCCACAGGACCAGGGGCCTCCGGGGCCACAGGACCAGGGGCCCCCGCTGCCCGGGGCCACAGGACCAGGGGCCCTCGCTGCCCGGGGCCACAGGACCAGGCAAGAAAAGAAGAGAAACTTTTGGTTGAGGTGTTTCTGAAACACAGTGGAGGGTCCGTCATGATGTGGGCCTTCAGAACCAGCAGGTGGAGCAGCTCAGACCGGTGAGAAGAAGCGGAACCAGAAGTTCTGGAATCCAGTCTGAGTGACGGAGCAGAAAAGCAGATTAGAGGAGGAAGGCAGCTGCTCCTCCTCCTCCTCCTCCTCCCGGCGGCCCCAACACGATTACTGCTCCTCCTTTACTCTGATCTCTATTTATGAGCTTTTAAACATTTATTACCCCCCCCCCACACACACACACACACACACACACACATACACACACAAACACGCGTTAGGTCGCACTATTCTTGTGGGGACTCCTATGGCCTGGGAAATGGTCCCCACAGGGTAACAGAAACACCTCAAACTCGTTCGCTGGTTCATCAGAATTGATTTGATTTTTATTCAAAAACGATAAAAGTTTATATTTTGATCTAAAGTTACTTTAAAACTCCAACATCTAACAAACCGACCGGAAGGGCAGCGATTCAACCCGTTTCTAACCTGTTGATGTTTGGATATTTGGGGAAACTGAGGATGATTATTTGATCTGATGACGCTCAGAAATGTTTACAGTTTATTTTTTTTTTTATTTCTTCATCACAACATCAGCAATCTCCCCCCCGCTGCTGCGGGAGTCTGAAGCCGGCTCTCGGGGTTCTTTTCCGGGCCTTTCTATCCGTCTCTCCCCGCTGCCCTCCCCGGAGCTCCGTGCGTAACGGATCCGTGCCAAACCAGGCCAGGCTGCGCGCCTTTGTTCCAGGAGACCAGGAGGGGAAGACAGGGGAGAAAATCCGGGAATAAAAGCAGATTTGCAAATGTTTTCTGAATTGCTTTGAGTCTCCTTTCTTGGCTGCGCTGCAGCAGAATCCCAGCGTTGGTTCCTTCATGGAGAGGCGCGTCTGAGCCGCAGAAGGACACGCTCTAATGAGCTTTGCTCTCGGTGAGGCTCCCGGGGTCCAATGAGGAACCACTTTAGTCCCGAAAAGATGACGGGAAGTCAGGAGGCGGAGGGAGCGGCAGGTGACTGGCACGCGCAAAGACAAGAGCACAAGAGGAGGGGGGGTGGGAATGGGCCCAAATGGCGCACCGACATTGTTCCGCTAACGTGATTAAGTGGCGCAGCGGCCTCGTTAGTATTCATGCGGCGGACAGACGCAGCGTGATAATCCGCCTCTAAAAGCCTTTTAATGACCATCAGCGGCTCCGTCAGCTGCAGGAGCCCAAATCAAACGCTCCCTCCTCATCCTCAGCTCCTCTTCTTCAGCGGAGGACTTCCTGAGAGGAACCCAGAGAAGTTCCACTCCACCTTCTAACCGAGTTCTAGCAGACAGGCTGTCCCGGTTCGGCCCAGATCCATCAGGTCCAGCATGAACTCCAAATGTTTCAGGAACAGGAACCTGAAGGCCTCAGAAGGCCCGAACCTTGATCTCAGGTTCTGAAAATGTTCTGAGGCGCAGATGAAGAATCTGCTCCATGATGGGTCAGGAACTGGACCTGCTGCTCGGTTCATCTTCTTCTCTTCAGACCAATTCCACTAAAATTCAACAATCAAAAAACTAAAGACTTAAAGGTGATCAAAGCCAAAGGTGAAGGACTGGGACTGGGACCGGGACTGGGACTAGAATTGAGAGCGGCATTGGGACTGGGACTGGGACTGAGACTGGGACTGGGACTAGAATTGAGAGCGGCATTGGGACTGGGACTGGGACTGGGACTGGGACTGGGACTCGGACCAGGACTGGGACTGG